AAAGAGTCTGTATCATTCTCCTGATAACTTTTAAGAAGCAGTCGAGGTAGATAGTGCTCTGTTACTCTGGAGTTGTTAGCTTCATACGCCCTGGTCGCTATAATCCAGAGGTTAGGCGTCCTCACGGGGCAAGTCCTGCCAGAGTACTTGCTGCTGAAAGCAAAACCCGAGGTACCAACCAAAAAATACAAGTGCAGATCCAGAAAGTATATACTGGGAAACAGACCTGGTATTCCTGAATACTTAGCCACTTTTGTTCCCAAACTTGTGTGAATGTTCTAAAATAGAGCTGTGAATTTCTACACGTAGATTGTGAGGGTATCACCCTAATGGTGTTACTGTGCTGTCTCAACAGCCAGTGTTTGTTTTCATAGCGCAAAGGCCTGCCTGGTTCCTGGAAAGGAGCAAGTGTTCTTTCCTTTTCTGTTCCGAGTGCTGTGAGCTATTCATGTGCCAGGAGAGAGTACAGGGAAGGGGTTCCCCCAGGGTCAGATTTCTTCAGTTGTAGGGTGTTTGTTATTCACTCTCCTCTCAAGGCTACAAATAATAGTGGAAAGGGATAGAAGAGGAAATCTGCAACACAGATCTGAGTGCCCCTTTCAGCACATATGGGTTGTTCAGTTATATCCCTGCTACGCCATACAATTTCTCTCAGATAACCCTTTTAATAAGTGTATTTAGTGTGGTTTTGAACCACTTCTTTTGCCTTTTTTTTCCCCACTGGAGCCTACTTTAGCATTTCATTCCTGTGATGGTTTGAAAACTTTTCAGCGTAAATTTCCTTCTGGCTAGTTGATGCTCTACTCTTACACAAATGTCAACATTGTCCTTTCACTTCACTAGTTTTTTTCCTTCCTTGCTCACTTGATGTATTTTTTGGGCAGCAGTTCTGTCATTTCACAGTTGATCTTTGTCAGCTAAAGAGACCTAGTTCTTTTGGTAGTATTTTGTGTGATACTCTCACCAGTCTTCTGATCATCTTAGGCATGGGTGCTACTCTTCCACTGAATTTGCATTGATCAGGAGCAGAATTTAATTCAGTATTCCAGATGGAGTCTCACTGTTGCCTTAGGTAATGTCAGGGAAAAAATGTCCAACATTCATCCTATATGTCTTAATATTAGTCTCTTCACAGCTGCACTGCAGTTATGCTGTCATTTATTAACATAGTCATCATCTTCCCCTCAGCCAGCATTGAAGGTTAGCCCCGCCAGTGAAAGCGAAAACTGTTAATACACAGTAGGCGCATCTCATCTCTATTACTGTGGTCCCGCAGACAGGTTTTTCTATATCTTTTTGTTGACCTCTGATTATTTCTGAATTTTAATTGGAAAAATTTCATGAGAACACTCTGACTTCTTCTGTCAAGGTCATTAAAAATATTAAAAGGTATGGATCCCAGGATATGTAGAGGAACAATTTTAATAGTAACCCTCAGCTTAATGCCCCGCAGATTTGCACGTTATTGATGCTGTCCTTTGGCCAGTTTTCTACCACCTTAGAACTTTCATACTAACTCACATTTTCTGCATCTTAGGTAATAATTTCTCATGTGGCACCGTATGATACCCTTTGTACAGAAAGTAGGCTTTCAAGAAAATGTCAGGCTTTGCTTGATTGATCTATTTTTATGAAACACACACTGCTGGGCTTTTTTCTCATCATGTTTTCCTCCATATCTTTATTCTTTACTTTTGCATATTTAAATATTCTGATTGATGGGGTTATAATTTTTCAGATCTCTTTTTCTGTGTCACATGGGCCTTGCATTTGTTATTTTTCAGCAGATGGTACTATCCTTGTTTTCAAAACATGGGTTTTAGTTATGTATAGATCCAGCAAGAGAAATCACATTCTTTCAGAACCTGGGCTGAATATGATTCAGCTTCCCTGTGGCTCATTGGCCCAGGCCTAGTGCATATTGGGTAACTCCTGTTGCTGTCATTTCAGTCTTTAAGGTTTTTTTGCTCCTGTTTTAAGTATCATTAAAACCAAGGCAAAATATTCAGTTGTGTTTGGGACATAGATTTGTTAGTTTTCACATCTTGGTTGATTTATACTAAGTCCGCTTGTTTTCTCCTTGTTTGCTTTATTTGTGACTAAAATCTTGTCCAAATTTCTGATTCCTTTTCCTCTTCTTTTACAATGCTCTGCGTATTTCTCAACCCTCTTTGAAACCTATCCACGTGTGTCGGAAGTTCTGTCCTCTTTGTTTTACCCTTGCTTTAGGATACAGATGGGTTTTGCTCCCTTGGACTTAATGACATTCCAAGGTCTTTTCCAACCTGAGTCCACCAGCTCTTTGGTTTATCTCACTGCTAGTTTTCTTCATTTCTGAAAGGCTGCTCTTCTAAAATGGAAAACCTTAGTTAAAGAACTTATTTGGTTTATCCTACCATTAATTGAAATTGAATAATTTATGATTACTCAGACTCAGGTTTCATTGTTGTTTGTGTTTTTGAGACTAATTTTGGTATCTACCTCTGTTGCTGGCATTTAGATTGTTCATGTAGCAACAGAATGAAATTCACGTTATTATTCATGTCATTGCTACATGGAGAATTCACAAACGTGGCAGTAACGGTAGGTAAAGCTTTAAGCACTAAGATGAATTAAAATCATTGTGGATTACTGCCAGGTAAGGAGACTAAAATGGCATTTCTTCACATTGAGAAGATTATTTTTGCAACTCTTAAGTCCGAAATGCTGTTCTATCTGGAAGCTTGCACTCAACAGAAGATAATACTGTCCATTGCCCTTCATAGGGGACTCTTCTTGTTTTGATGGTAAAGGGCAATTAAAGGGATTTTTCAAGGCCTGCCTTTGTCATTGGTTACATATGCAGCTACAGCTTTAGGACTGCATCTAACAAACAAATGCCATAGAGGATTGTAGGTCAGTAGAATTCTGTTCCATTCCATGAGATGAATTCAGTGATTTCTTTATGACTATTTGTGATGTCCAAACAATAGGGCTTGTACATGTTTTCCATCCTGCTGGGAACCGCAGCAGAAAAGTCCGGGGTAACACTGTCCTAGCTATTTATCATAGTCCTCCTGGTTGGTTGTAAGATCAGTTAATTGCAGCATTGGTGTCCCTCTTCCTTACCTGATCCATAGATAATAGTATTACAGTTTTTTAAATGGTCCCTCATTGTGCCTCTACAGTTTACAGTCAGATAAGAGCTTCAGTCTGTCTCCTAAGTGTTACGCAGCTCCATGCGTCGCATATTACAAAATAGATTTCATGAACTGCAGATACACGTGTCAGTCATTTTTGGAGCTGGTTTAATGTTACATGAACACATAGATTTGGTGTGCCAGCCCAGGCAATGAATTGTGCAGTTTATCTCAAGGGTAGTAAAAGCACAAGTTTCCATGTGTGCTATCTTGCCCCACATGCTGATTTGTAAGAATTTATTTTCTTTTACAGGATAGCCAGAATAAATGGCTACTGTTTGCAGTTTTGCCCTCTCTGATGTCTTCAAACTTCTCACTTTTAATCTCCGTAAACTGGCAAATATTAGTTGCCTTGTCTCAGCTGAAAGACACGAAACCCCAGCGAAAAATGATTGTAAATGCTACAAAAATGTCAAGAAGAAGCGAGAACTAAGCTAATATGACTTGTAGTATGTAGTTTGGGGGATCTTGCCTTGTATGAATGAAGCCTGTCACTGGCTCACTCCTATTCACACTTACAACTGCATGAGTGTCATACAAGCTGTTTAACACTTGACAGTCTGTTTCAATTAGGGTATCTATTATTCTTGCACTTTTCTTACAGATTTGAAACCCTCATCTACATGGAGAGGAAACCGTTTTTTTTTCCCTCCTTGGATATTTATGAGTAGAAGCACTATTTTTTTGGCTATAATAATCTATCACACATTGGTTTCTGTCACTTGTTTCACCTGAGGCTGTTTTTCTGCTGTTTATATAGTTTTCTTTTAAATCCAGTTAGGATTTCTCAAGTAAAACACTCATTTGGGAGTAGGAGACTGTAACCAAAGCACTGATTTTAATTCCTGTCACTCTCTTCCTTTGTCTTTCTACCTGGCAATTGAAAGTCTGAACACTTTCTCCAGCAACCTTATGTTGGAAGAGACAACCTTGTATTTATTATACGGCAATAAAAAAGTGAGCAGTAGAACTGAAGTGAAAGGTGTCAATTCTCTGACTGGTTAACAGAATAAAACCACGTGGCTTGGAAAAAATAACAAATAGTTTTGCAGTGAGTTGTGTACATCCTTGCACTAAAAACACCAGTAAGAACATCTGATGTTCATCAGAGCTTTAAAAACATACCAACTTCTCTTACTTAAGGAATAAGAATTGTCCAGAAAAAGTTGAGAGATTAGTGGCAGTATCTGGCAGCCTAATGAGGAGCCTTCCCAGCCTTGAATATGCTCCAAGGTGGCCAAACTTCTCAAGTAAAACTTTGTATGCCATGTGTCTCAGAGTAATGGAACAACAGTTGCTTTTTCTTATTTACATATTAGAAGGCAAAGTTAATATTTGCAAATAAACTTGCCCTTTCTGTGGCTAGACAGAGTATGGATATCTAAGCATGTACCTTTACCAGTTTCATTCTCTCTGTAGCTAGGCCAAACCTTGGACAGGTTTTTGTCTCTTACCATCACATAAACTTCATTCTGTGTGACTTCTCATATAGAACCTGATGTGACCCTTGATGTTTAACTCTTACACAGTGAGTACATGCCCTTAAATATATTAACCTGGGACTGGGATACTAGGTTTCAGTTTTGGTTGAAGACAATGGAGTATGTTTACTTATAGTAAGAAGAATTTTGTCCTGGCTATTTTAAAATGGTGACTATTTTTCCTCGTCAGTCTGTACAAACAGAATTGCTTTAGAAAAGAAATTTTTTCATTCTTGTCGGTTGTAATCTGACTCTCGGAAATCAACCATTTCAGCCTTGACCATTTCGTTTTTATCTTGAAAATAGCTGTTACTTCTATAACTAAAGTTCAGTTTGTTTAATGAATGTGTTACTCTTACAGATAACTTGCCCTGGAGTGCTGCTGAAAGACAAAGAGGAACTTTATCTCAGTGTCTCTGTACTTGGGCAGTACAAAAGAACTCAATGCGTCCCTGCAGCATTTCCACTTTTCTTTCAAGAAAAACTAGTATTTGAAAAGGTAAGATAATGTCAAGAGCTAATACAAGCCAAATAAAACCCATCCCAAACTCCACAAAGACGCACTGCAAAACCCCTGAGCACAAGTAATCACACTAAGGATGGTATAGTGTTTTAACTCCTGCTTCTCTTCAGCACAGAGAACGTGTGTGCCTGTGTTATCCACACAGTGACTCAAGAGTTATATGTACTGAAGATTATAATGTATGATGAGACTTTTTAGGTGTTTGTTTATTCTTTTGTGAACTCTCCTTTTTCAGTGTCTTTTTTCCTGGCTTGGAAGGAACTGAATGTTGTTGTTCTAAAAATTATGGCAAGATGAAGAACAAAGACTATATGATATAGGAGAGTCAACTTAATTTAGTAGAAAGATAGAATAGCTGCTCAAGCCTTTTTGGTGACATCTTTCTCCCTTTGAGATACTTCTTTCATGGTTTGTCACCAGAATTCCCAGGTTGGTATTCTGGCCTTACAATTTATGATGGTTTATCACATATTCTGAGTCCCTACTAGCTTCATTATTAGTACCACAGGGATAATGAAACACAGTATCTTACAGATATGATCTGGCTTCTTGACTACATATGAATAATAATACTTTGCCCTTTCTAGTTCTTTTCCTTTTAGCATCCCCCAGCACTTTGAAAATCAGACTGAGTAAATATCAATGATGCTGTGGTGATGTGGGTAAGATACAAACAGTGATAATTTCACCAGCTATCGAAGAGTAAAAAAGATCGTAGTTCTTTAAAGACAAACATACCACAAACTGCTTACAGGAAATGTGCTGCGACTGTTTTCAGTGTAATTTAGGGGAACTCCAAGACACCAGGATCTATCTCCTTACAAAAGAGATAAACACGAAAGCTGAGAATAATATCTATCTTCTTATAAATAGCTATTGATTAGGTCTAGATAATTGTGGAGCACCAGTACTTGGTGGTTTTTAGTGTTTGGTACCTTAAACAGCAAAGTGATCTACACTGCTCTACTGAGACTTTTGTATAGAATTAGGGGGAAGCCTATTACCTGCTGAATATCCAGTGCAACATCCTCCTCTATTCCTTGCCATCTATTCACATGGGATTCAGGTTGAAAAAAACCCTCAACAGTAGTACTCTGTACATGAATAGTCACTGCCATGAAAATGAAGCTTAAAGCATTACTAATATATTAAAGAACATAGTCTTAGCCTATCAGATTTCTAGTACATTCAACAATTTATTTTTCTCTCTTGAAATTTTCTCAGACAATACTTATCTCTACATGTTCAACTCTTCACAATACTTCCTAATTTAAATATGGAGAGTACCCCTGAATGGCTAGGAAGCATACAAGAACTCCTAGCTTTCAATGACTCTGATCATGTGCCAAATGATAATTTCAATTTCCCTTCTTTTTCCAGTGGAGACAGGACTCTTGGTCACCATCTTGGCAAAGAATATTGATTTTTTTTTATTATTTTTTTTTTTTCCCCCAGAGGTCCATCTGATGACTTTGACTGTGCCATTATTATTATTTATTCATTTCTTTTCCAGGCATTTGCTGATATAGTTGATCCTGGAGACCTTGTCGACTTACTGGAACGTAGGTTCTGCTTTTTATGCATACTATGTTGTATGCATTAATGTCATGCATGTGTGGGTTCTAAAGGCTTTTTGGAAGTTTAAAGTATGTGATAATTATGAGGAGCCTGTTCTCTGAAAAGCTAGTGGGTAACCAATGTAGTATAACATGTACTAAATAAGTAGCACCCTAGCAGTTTTGGGTTTTCAGAATAGATGATTCGTTGTCAGTGCAGGCAGAAGGTTTTTTGCTGGTTTTGGTTACTAGTAACTTACCCAAAATACTGTTATCTAACAAAATGCATCTAGAAATGTATGCTACATGCTTTAGAACAGGAAAGGGGTAAAAAGTCATAATTAGTGGAAAATACAGCTAGTTATCCAGATAGGTAATGGATTGCTTTATCTGATCATTTATTTGATTCATTTTCAAATAATATAAGCATAAACCTTCCATTTTTGTAAAATTACTCTTTTCATTTTTAAAGAAAATTATATGTCTTGCCACATGTGGAGCATAATGAATTGTAGTGAGACAACACTGACTTTGAACTCAAATTCCAGGAATATGCTCCCTCATACTGAGAGTTATCTGAAAAAGTGGCAAAGATTGCATCATCTTCTTTAAAAGAAGGACAAACTTGGCAGTAGATAGAACTTAGCAAGTTCTAAGTCAAATTTAGAGTTGCCATTTGTATGCTGCTAATGCTATTGTGTTCATCTGTGGCATTTATGCAAGCTGTTCTTAATTTTCTCTCATTGTTGGTGTAGTGGAAATAGTGCAGCTATGTAGAGTGCTATGAAGCTTAAATCAGTGAGCCGTTTTTCTTGATTTTTGACTGTGACAATTACTTTCCATTTTAGTTTTTTTAACTCATGAAAAAACTTTTTTCCTTTCTAGTTGACACTGCAGTACTTGAACTAATACAGCTCGTTCCTCCAGGTATTGTATCAATCGCTTCATAAATTTTGCAGCTTAGTAGGTGCATTTCCACGAGGATGTTGCCCATTACAGCACAATCACTTTTTCCAACTCACAAACAACATAGAAAGCTCTTCAACAAATAGTCCTCTGAATATAAAATGTTAATAGATCAAGAGGATCTCATTCTTGAAAGAGAATAATAACTGAATATTGAAATGTACCATACTCAGACTTAGGAAAGTGATAATATTTTAAAAATGGAAAATAAACTGAAATCATCTAGTGCACGCTTATTAACTGCATCACAATTCACTTGCAAAGTGGCTGTCTGTGAAATTTCAGAGTGCATAATCTTGTTCTCAGAATGACACTTTTTTTCCTTCCATTTTAACAGTGACCATTGGGAAAACTCTTATCCTCACTGTAAGCATTACAGGTCTCTTGGGATATGTGAAGATAATAAATAGCGATTTGTCATACTTCTGTTATTGGTTTGTGTGATTATAAAAATTTATTTTAATGAAATTCAAGTGTTCCCATGAATAATGTAAATCTGCATTTTATTGGAAATAAAGTCAAGTTTTAAAGAGGACTCGTTTGGAAACTGTGGTATTAAAAGCACTCTCTGTCACTTGTCCTTAGTACTTTCAAGGAAACAATTGCTTCCTTTGGGTGACTCACCAGACTGTTTATTTGAAGAAATATACTGAATGTGGATTTTCATTGTGGAAGGGTAAAAGATCTTGCATAACGAATTTAATTTCAGAGGTCAGAGATAGGTGTGATACAGCCCAACATAAGCTGACAAGATGACTGCAATAGCACAATTTACTTTTTTTTTTATAATATACATTCAAGGTTTTCCCCTAAAGAAATTTTTTTTTTTTTTTAAACTTGGGAAACCAGGATGGTCAGAAAATCTTCAAATAATGACTTTGATGTTGCTTGCGTTTCTTTCTTACTACTGTTACTACTACTATTGCTATTCCGTAATATGGAATGATACAATTTTTGATAAGGGATTGGCTGCCATTAAAAAAATACTTGTTTCTTCTGTGGCATGGAAGGGAAAGAAAGAGGAAAACTACTGAAGAATTGCCTGGAGAAAACTTCTCATATGTTTCTTGTAGAACAGTTAACACAATCTTCTTTAATTTTTTTACAATATCAGTAAAACATACTTTCAGTAGATTCTGCACATTTCTGCTGCTGATTTAACTTGAGCTTATTTCCTAGTGTGATACAAGTTTTAGAGTCACGCTGTTAATTTGTAAAGAACAAAATTTATCTTAGTTTCAATATGATCTTGTGTGTGGTGTCTGTACTATATAGCTTTGTGTATTTTCCAATTAAGGTATATATTTTCTTTTTAGTAGGAAAAATTCTAGCTACGTATGAAGAAAATACAAGAGATTTCCTGTTCCCTGACCCTAAGCTTACCCGTGGCCACCATGGTTTAGATCGTGAGATTTTAATGAAGAGGTCTTCTTCTTTTACAGTGAGTGAATATCTGTGGATTGTATTTATGATACAGTGTGTTTCACTGAAGAAACCCCTTGAACTATTTCAAATGAAAAGTGATTACTTGTGGCAGATTTTGCCGTTTCAGGTGTTGAATGTACAAATCCACAGTTGAACTTTGGTGAAGGTAGAATCGTTTTTCAAAATGCTTCGAGAAATTATTTAATGTGGAAAAAGTTAGTTTCAAATTGGTTTGCAGAGTGGCACCATGACATGTCTTCCATTCAATTTAATCTGCGTTGAAGTTGGTAGTTGAAGGGGTGCAAGAGAAGAGGGAGAAGTCCTATCAACTTCACGGTTCTCAACAGATAAACCATGTAACCTTCCTCCTCAGTCTCTCTTTGTAGCATTTTCTTTCAGACCATTTTTGGTACTGTTTAGGACCATGACAGTCAGTACAAATTTATAGTGCTATGCTGTCTGACCTGTGGGCCTCCCTGAGGTGCAAGATCACCACTAAAATAGTAAGTAACTGAAATTTAGCTTAGTGCTGTGTGACTGTTTTTCAGTTCCAAAGCCTGTTTCTTAAGGTCTGTTCAGACCGTTCATGCTCATTTAGTAACTTGCCTTTTCTACAGTTTCGAAAAAGCTATGATAAACAACTAATTGGCAAAGAATTAATGTTAATTTTCTGGAGATAAGAGCTCAAGCACACAGTAAATGAAAATTCATCTCACACTGCCCTTTCATAGAGTTTGACTGGTCAATGTTAAGTGTCAGTGGAATAACTCAGGAAGGCACTTTGAAGATGATGGTGATGATGTGGGAGATATATTTTGGGGTTTGTTTTGTCTGCCTTATTTTGGTTAAGTTTTACTAGTGGATTGGCAGGATATTTGAATTGGGACGATAGGGACTCAGTTGTCCTGTCTGTTGTGGTTGGATTAAAAACACATGGCAGGAGGGAAATGCTGATTAAAGGTCATTTGTATCTTTGGTAGAATCTTTCCCCTGCAAAGGCAACCTGGAAATTGCCCAGTCACTTGCAATTAGAACCGCTAATTTGGTGTCTAATGCTGTGTTACATTTGAATGAATTAAAGCTGTGATTTTTGCGATACAAAAATGTATGGTTCTGCAGCACCTTAAACTGTCCCTGCAAAAATAGCCATTGTTTTTTTGGCCATAGCATCTGTTTGATATGGCTTATCCTATGCATGTTGGTGGTGGCTCAAGAGAGGGAGTGGGACTGTGCTACTTTCGTATTACCTATAGAATAGGTACTTTCCTGGTGTTGAGAGAGACTAGATAGGGAGGTAGTAGTAAATTGAGGTGGTGTTAGCAAAATAGTTTCAGATTTTTTTGTAAATGCAATATAATGAATCTTTGTTGAAGCAGAGCCACTAGAGACATTTGAGGTGTTTTGTTGGACTGAGTTCTTTAATAGAAAAATTATGTATTTTCTAATGAAGAGAAGGTGCTGTAGTTTGTGAGCTGTGAGAAGATGTGATCAGAGTCATTTGGATGTGTAGCTGAATGATGACACTGTTGTAGCTTTAAAAAGTTGACTGATTTAAGAAAGAAAGGTACTTACATGTCCTTGGAAGCAGTGTAAACGAAGTCCCTCTCTGCCCTGGAACAAGGACTGGAGAAGCATCTGTTGCTCCATTCCATCTCCATTGCAGAAAGACCAGTTTAAGAAAGGATTTTGGCATACAGACCCTGTTTTCAGGAATAATGAAGAAGCTGCGTTTGATGGAATTGGAGGGAGGCTCCCAAAAAGAACTTGTGGTTCCCCTCCTTGCTTGCCAAATCAGATAGCTGTGAGAGGATTTCTACCTCCAGTAGAAATGCAGTCGCAAATGCCTCCATCTTCTAGTGTTCTCTGAGTTTTCCTGGCAAGTATCTCCTGCTATCTCTGTCAGCACCAAGCGCTGAATGTGTATGCTAAGCAAAAGGGAAAGTGTTAAACAAGGTTGTGAGAACCATCACATTATTCCTATGCTAGTCAAGCCATGTTCTTCCCATGTGAAAAGTTATTTATAGCTAGCTGAGATGTTGAGTATTTTTTGACTGACAACTGTGCTTCACTGGCACTTTGATTCCCAATAAATTTGTCTTTTATTTAAAAAAAATAAAGGTAGCAACAGCAAGGTTATGGTTGTGGAGTTCAGATAGGCAGTGACAAGCAGTGTCTGATTAACACTGCTAATCTGCCAGTTGGAGAGAATCCCAAGTTGAGAGGATCAGAACTCCTCCAGAAATCTGGCACTTGGCTGATAATGTCTCTGGCTAAATGTCTTATGAGGCTTACAAGCACAATACACATGCAAGACGTGCCTCGAGTTATCTCTCTTGGTCCAGTGTTGCCCAGCTGAGGCTTTTGCTGGCTTTTCTGTATTTCTCTGCAACCCTTGCCTTTCAGAATATGTTTAAGCCTTGAATGGTGGTGACTTACAGACGTTCTTATCTCTGTTCCCCACCCTCACGCAGTATTTGCCATGTTACTTAAAACAGTTTCTTTTTAGTTATGCTATCTTTCATGAGCATACCAATACAAGACCTTCTGTTACATTTGTATATACTTTTATAAGCTATAGGCTTGTACTCCTGTGTCTTACAGTCAAAAGCACATATTAGGCTTGTTTTCTAACTTGTGTTCTTCTAAATATGAAGCACCTTTACAGTTTTTCTATGATCAAATTAATATTATGTCCATATCACTTCTGTTTAATGACTGGTACAGGTGGACTGACAAGCCTGCTCAGGGCTGCAGGCACCACTAAGCCCAAGGCAGAGGAATAGAATCCAAAAGCTTTCTGGCTAGACTTTCATTTACAGATATGTTTAGGGCTATACGTAATACTATAATATTCTTCAGCAGTCCCTAGTTTGGGAGCTGCAGAAAACAGAAGTCCTCCTCTGATTGCTTTTGTCCTGTAAGTTACTTTTGACATATCCATGCCTATGTATGCGAGTGTCATCCCGTATTCCCTTTCTACAAACCATCTCTCTGAAGAAACCATGGTTTTGAATGATTTTTTTATTATTATTATTATTATTTTTTTTTTTTTAGCTATGAGCATTTAACAATTCTGTAATCATTCCCAGTCTCTGTAAAAGCAGTGGGTGCTCTGTTGTTGCTTTTTATAGAAGACTTACTAATTCTGATGTGTCCTTTTTTAAATTGTTCATAGCACTTGACAATTCATTAATAATAAAATGAGTTGATTAAAGACAGTTAGCTTTCCATAATCTAATCTGGGTCCAGATCATATTCCCTTATGGGAAATCAGTGTGATCTACCAGGCAGGTGGTAGAGAATAGTTTAGTTCAGCAGTAGACTTCACTCATGAAGTTTCTGCTAATTCTTAAAAATGTGGGGCAGAGTAACAAACAGACCAGCTCCTCCTTGTTTGTCAGTGATTTTGTGTGTTCATGTGCCCAAATGACCATGCCCACAGATGCCTTGGGGCAGCAAACTTTGTCCGTGTCAAAAGAAGAAAGGATAGAAAGTTCTAGGGACACTTGATTCTCTCTTTGCTTCTGCAGAGCTGTATAAGGCACACGTAGATGATTCCCACTTGTTTATAGTGTATGTGGCCTTTAGTTCTTTTATGCCTTTTTTTAATGTTGCTGTTTTGGGAAATAACACTTGTGTGTCATAATCTCTGCCATTTACACTCAGTAAATTTTGTATACGTTTGCCAATTCTAGCTAAATTTGACGGGAAATAGAGCTTTAGAGGTATTATGTTTCTAGATATGGCTGTAGTAAAAGAAGATGAGTTGAACAGAAACTGTTAGCTGCATAAAGACAGAGGGACCTGCTGGCCATTAGTACATGGGTGCTGGTTGACCAGGAGGCCCAGTTGGACCCCACTGATTCTAAATTGGTCAAAGTAGGGCTACCTCTGCCAGCCACATGTTGAAGAGGGAATTGAGAGGAAGTGGAACATGGTTATGGAACATGGTAGACAATCCACACAAATCAGACTTTGCTCTAATGGTTACAGAATAAGGGATGTTCTTAATCATGCTGTTAGAAAGGAATAGTTTTTTGCAGTGTAATTGACTAATTTTTAAAATGTTTTTACAAAAAAGATTGCACAATTGAGACTATTTATAAGTAAATTTCCAAAGTTAGCGGTAATGAAACTTCTAGAGTATGACTGGAATTTTTATTGATGCTATATAACATGGCATGAAAAATCTTTAAAAGTGCTTTTGACAAAGAAATGTATTGAAATAAAAGTCAGACCTTAATTGTTGTATGAAAGCAATATAATAATCTGTAATTGAATTGTCAGAAATGCAAATGTTAACATCTTGACATTTACCATTGCTGTTCTGTCTTTTCTAATTATCTTTATTAAAGGCTGAAATTAACAAAGGAAATGGCTGAAAATTAGGAATGGTTTGTTACATTAGGTGACATTTACTTCTTTGATACCCTTTATCTTGAGTTGGAGCTTGATGTTCAATTATTGTCTCTTTTCTAGGGAATTGCACCAAAATTGAGATTTTCTACAAGCTCCCTTATTACAGAAAGTCTGTTAAGCTCAGGAAGGAGTCACATACAGGTTAGCATAATTTAATTGTTTGCAGTTTAATTTCTAGATTTAATATTGATGGCCTTGGTTCCAATTTTTACATCTGCTGCTCACTTCAAACTTTTCTCATTCTTTTGTTGTGGTTAAAGCAGTTATCATGGGTGCTTGACATCTTGATTAAATTTTTAATCAAGTGTGAATAAAGAGTGGGTTTGGTGCAAGACAGTAAATGCTGAGAGTTCCTTGAATCTGAAACAATTATCAGCTGCTATGTTCTATGATCAGCTGAAGTGTCAATCCCTGGTGTATTTGTAGGTGGGAAGATGCCTTCTCACCATTTCTTACTGACACTTAAAATTCAGGACAATGAAAGCTAGGTGAAGTCAGAGAAGGTACATTATCAAAACCAAAGCAATTAATTTAATTGTTTTCTGTAACAATATCGTAACAGTAATGGAAATGAAGATTTTTGTTGAAAAGACTGTCACTGATATCAATCTGGAAATGCTGCTTGTGCAACAAGCAAAGTTAAAGTAGCTGAAGAGACTGGGGGGGGGGAAACCCACTCTGATGTGTTTGTTCATTTGGTAGCACTCGTCTCATGGATTGGAATTTTGGTTGGGTTTCTTGCCTCAGGCTGTCATGTAAAGTTACTCTTACGTCCTCCTTTTTTTGCTTTATTATTAACAAAAATGGTGCAACATCATTAAAATGGAATGGTTGTCAGGAAGGCTTGCGTGCAAAGAGGGTTAGGTGACTTTGACCAGTTTGTGGCATTGCTAGTTAGTTCACTGAGAATTTTCTTCTAAATTTAGCAAACAAAATGTATTGAGACACTTAGATAAAGAATTAAAAAAAAAAATCAATGAAAACTGTTATTGTCAGAAGACTAAATTCACTGAAGGTGACTACAGTAAGGGCAGTTTGATTTAAAATTTAAAATCTCCTTAGAAGTGTTTAATATGTTATGAATGGCGTATCAAATTTGCATGTGTTGCAGTGAAGGTCTTGTTTCATGACTGGTGTAAGCCAGAAGCACAGCCTGCTTCTGGTGAAATTGGAATTAATCATAGAGAATTAGGTCTGGTTTTGTTTGGGCCAGTTCCATACTCCGGCTCACTACCAGCTGCACAAGTGGTAGTACAGGCGTGAGAAAGACAGTGGTGTGAATAGTCCGTGTGATGCCAGATTCAAACTGTGTTGATGCAAAACAAATGTACAACCTCAGCCTCATTCATTGTTGGGTGTAGAGGGAAAGGCTTGAAGGCAAGCTGGACATTTTATTTCTGGGTTCCTCTGAACTGAAATAGTGCATACAACATTCAGATTTAAGACTAAGGTCAACTTCCTCAAGCTTGGAAAAGAATTTCTAACAGGAAGAAAAGTCTTGCTATACCATTATTTTTTATCTTTTATAACCTGTGAATTTAGGCCAAAATTGACCACAAAACTGAATTATCCATACTGCAGTATTCAAAGTTAAAACATGCTGCTAAGTAGCCTGATGAGAGTTGTGTAATCTAGAGTGCCTTGACCTGTAAAGCTTGAATGCTCATTTGGTGCCAGGAATTACAAAGGAATGATAATGTATTTCAAACAAAACTTCAGTGTTGGAAAGTGTTTCTCAGAATTTGAAATCGGTCACTGAAGAAGTTAATAGTTACTTGGAAGGGGCGTCAGTCCTGATTCCTAGGTAGGCTTTGCTGGTGACCAGAAAAACTACAACAGTACCACCCCAATCCTATGGTGTGGGAAGGGAGTTGATGAGATTGGTTGTTCCTCCACTTTCCTTTGTTCTGCTGTATGTTGGTATTTTAAAAGCAGCATCAACTCAGAGATAGACTTCTAAGGCAATATTTGATAATGGTGGGATTTTTAGAAATTCTAGCTACAAAATCCATATCATGGATGTCAAGTCCCAGTTATACAAATAAACAGCTGCTCTACCTCTTCTTTTGCAAAAGTATTCACATGATTTGAGAGGATCTTTGGAAGATGGTCTTTAAAGTTGGGTGTTTTGGGTTTTTTTGAGGGGGGAAGGGTGTGTGTTGTTTTTTTTTTTTTTCTACTAGACATAGCTTTTTGATTATAACTCTTTAAAGAACTAGTAAATCCACCATAATTCAAGAAAATATGAATTTCAGAGAATGTAATTACACTTCTTGTGAAGCTTTAGGCAACTCTGAATGGATGTAATTTAGACTATTAAATAGGTTTCTATTTTAATTTATGTATTCTATTTTAAAGGGTAAGAATTTTAAAAGGTTTAAAAAAAGTTTAAACAGATGAAAAAAATGCTTCAAATCTGTGTATGTCCAATCCAGGTATAGTTTATGTTAAATGAACTTGTAACAAAATTCAATTTAATTCTTTACAGTCTCTGTATACTAATTGTGTGAGAAAGCTAATTGGGTAAGTATCAGACACTTAACCTTAACATCAACATCTAACATGTAGTAATGTGTGTTTTAACCTCCTTCTGGTTTCAGAGAAAATGGAAAATACATTGTTGTTTTTTTTCATTGCTGTTTGATTATAGTTTTGTGAGAGGAACTTCAGTTGACATGGCGTCTATTTCTGTTAAAATTATTAGTTCCCCATTTGTGTTATTTTCAGTGATCTTTGTTCTGCATCCTGTCAAACCAGATAATTTCTCTTTTTCACTTTAGGGTGATTTGAATTGGGTACATCACTCAACCCCAAATGGAAAATTACAAAAAAAGTTACCAAAGAAAAATACTGTTCCACCTGAGAAAAACAGGCACAGCTTAGCAACAAAGAACTACGAACAGCCTACAATAGCTTCTAAATCACGTTCTCCATCTCCATACACGAAAAGAAGGATGTGCGAGCTGTCAGAAGAAGCCAGGCAACGACTGGCCCATTTAAACCTTGGTCCCTATGAATTCAGAAGAGGAACCGATAAACCTCCGTTTGTAGTTAGACGGGTTTGTATTCCCTCCAAAGTGCTTCCAGCTTAAGCTCAGATCAAATATTGTTCTTTTGCTAAATACTGCTCCAACAACTCATTCAACTCTTAGTTTAGATGAATAATTTTTCTTTCCTTAAGTCTGTCACATAGTGATTTAAATGTAAAATTAACTAAAATAAAATTCCTTTTATCCGCGTTAGTAACAGACAAAGATCAAATTCTTTCATGAATATCTTGGTTAAATTCTCTGCGGTCCCATTTCTTTTCTTCCAGCACACTAGACAGGATAATAGGTGTATAAATTCAGCTTGGAAGTAATTGATATTAGTATTAAAAATTCCTGAATAAGACTTTAAAGAAAGATTTTTTTGTCACATTATGAACACTTACACTTCCTCTCTTTCAACTTTTTTTATGTTGGCATCCTATGATCTTTGAAACACTTCCTTTGCTCAGAGCTACATCTCTAACAGTTTGACTTAGAGTTCATAACCAACCCGACTTTAGCACCCGCATAAGGACTTTTTGCTAACCGTACGTGAAAAATTGTTCTGAAATTAGGTACCGATTTAAAAAAAACTGCTTAAGTGCTTCAATATGAAGGGACCAGATTTCCCAGTCTCTCGGAGGATTTTTTTTTTCCCTTTATTTTTCTTATGATTGCAACAATCCTTTATTTTTTGAAAACCACTTTGAATGTGTAGGGGCAGAAATGGGATGGTTCTGATTCTGTGCTATGTCATTATGCTTTATCTACAATTCTGGACACTTGTCACAGCCATTGAAATATTTTAGTGTGTAATTAGTTTGCTTCTCACTTTATTTAATTTTTTCTAGTTTATGTACAAATGAATTAACAATATCTTGTCAAATTTTAGAATTCTTTTCCGAGTTTTATTCTACATATAGGTACCTTTTAGAAACTCAGGTTAGCTTTAATAAGCCATTAGTCATTTATCAACCTTCTGTTTATCTCTCAGATATTTTTCTTTTAACTCCTTTAAATCAATTCTTCTATTTTTTTGATCTATAGTTGAAATTCACAGTATAATTATAGCATCTTTAAACATTAATTATTAATTGATATTACTATGTTTGTACAAAAAAGGATGAAGCTTGTCTCTTAATGTACCATATCCTGACTGTCATGGCCTTTCTAGATTGAGAATGGTCCTTTTAGGGCATCTTTACCGCTGAGGACTCTTTTGGCCTGGAGATTTTGTGTTACATGAAGATTAAAATTAGATTATGTTAAATGTAACTTTTTAAATTAGGAATAGATTGAGATCTCTTTTGGTGAGAGATATTTATATCTCATAAATATGAGATACCAAGAATTGTTTAAAAAGTCTGCAGACGTTCTAGATGAAGGACAAACTATCTGCTTTTTTTTCTTTTAACAATATGATATTCAGAGTTTTCTAGACCGTTCTAGCACTGTTTTTATTTATGCACAGTAATGCTAATAATACACATAATATAAGCAAAGTGTTGTGAAAATAGTTTTGAATAGTATTTAAATAAGAATAAAATATTTCAGAAAGGACTAGATGTGATCTTATGAACAAAACCAGAAAAAAATCAGAATTGATACATCTGATACTGAGCATTTTAACAGTATTTTTGCTTCAGGTTGAACAACCAAGTCCTGGTATTAAACTCCATACCTGGTGTCCTATGCGAGAAAGTGCAGCAGAAGCCTGGACCAAGGTAGACCATGGTCAGTATTTTCTACTATATATCTCATTAATGCTTTTGTTTTCTGCAGTAGTTTAGTGAGGTTATTTTATTTGGGGGTTTTTGATCTGCTTTTTTATTCATTATAAAAAAAGTCTTTCTGTAATGGAGAAAAAGCCGTTCTTTCTTCCGAGGAGTAGGAAGAATACTGAATCAGCTACTGCTGCAAAAGTTGATTTTGATTAGTTCTTTACCTCGTGAAACTTGGAACATAGTTCTACATGATGGGAAAGTAGGAGTAGAAAATACCAAAACCTAGGCAAGTGCTCTGTTTCACTCCACTTGTTTTGATGAGTTGGATAGTGGAACAAGTCGGCACCACAGTCTGTGGGTGTGTTGAGCAGGCTTGCAATATTGATCATCTTGAAGTTCAAGGGCTCTGTTCCTTCAAAAATGAATAAAGTTTATTTCAGCAGTATTTGTCAGTAGTGGATCAGTCACTTACCATTATTAATGAACATCCAGGATGTGCTCCAATACCATGCTTCGGCATTCATTGGTATCAGTAAGTGAGGGTTTAATAGAAGGTGTGGGATCAGAAATTTAAGGACATACCCTAAAACTTGATTTTATTGCATGTGTCTGGCAATATGAGGATTTTAATGAGTCTCACTGTATTTGTTTGTTATGTGTGCTCGGCTTCATTTTTATTGTGCCTCCTCACTAATTATAAGTTGTTATAGAGCAAATCATTATGAACTTGTTATTTTACATTTGTCCTTTGTAGTAGCACTGGATGCAGGATGTTAAAGGTTTCACGTTTCCTTTGAGGTCCTACTTACCAATCTGTAGTAGCTGGATAATGTAACAAAGCTATCATCATCTGATACCATTGCATACTTACGAAATGAGTTGGTGCTTTCTGGTCAGTGGTTAGGAGACCAAAATCTACCTCGCTATTAATATCCAGAGGATTCACTGGTCACCTGCCTGTGTCTGGAGGCTTAAACTGTAATTTCTGAAAAAAACAGATTCCCAGGATTAGAGATCTTAATACTGACAGTACAGTTTAGTCCTATTCTGCTTTCGTGCAGGTAGCTAACGGAGAGGTGTCTTTACATTGCTGTACATCATAGAAGTAGCTCCTTGGGCTTGGGTCACAGTGTGAGGGTTGTGCAGGACAGACTGATATAACTGATCAAGAAGGCAGACATAATTTAATGTCAGTCCCTCAGGGATAAGGTGCATAATGGGATTGGTGAAACATCCTAACCCGATACAGACCTAATAGTTTCCCCACGTATGTTTGCATGGGCTTCGTACTTGTGTTTGTGGGTCAGTGGTGAAGGAAGGAATGAAGAAATGAAAGGAGGAGGGAGAGGTGGTCATAGGGAAGCTTGTTCAGAGAAGATTAGTAAGGTAGGGTAATGTAAATGAGAATTTTTGGGAATGGTAGAGCTTGATTTTTATATTGTTTTAGGCAATTAATAGCTTAACAAAATGTGTTTATGCAGAAGACTGTGCATTCACTGATTCATTATTATAAACTTTGTATTCCATTAAATGTGAAGTCATTGTTTTCAGCTAAAGAAAGTGATTTCTTGAAATATTCTGAGGAGACTGTTTAGAATTTCATAATGTATAATAATAATAATAAATTGCTTTAGTACTTTTTGGGAGGAGATGTAAGCTATTTTGAAAAAGTTTTCATAAAATTTAGGACATTTGGATTTTCTTTTGAATTTCTTCTGGGATGCACCTTTTCTCTTTCTCCAGATCCTTCTCTTCTCGGCAGCTACAGACCCAAGAAAGCTGAAGTGAGTATTCTGAAGTGGTATTATTTACACGTTGGTTTTTGGGAATCTCTGAGTGAGAAGGATTGTCTTGCATAGATATTTTTGAAACTTTATCTACTGTAGTATCAAAAGCAAGAAAAGAGACACTTTAAATCTGGTCTAACCCAGTTCAGGCCTGCTGACAGACTATTTACAGATGAAAAAATAGGTACAGAACTTGCTTCTCCTTGGCATTAAGGCTTGTGACAAGACTGTAGGAGAGCCTTTAAAGGCAGTTTGCATTTGCCTTCCCAGTCATTCTGAGAGCACACTTCATTCTGGAATTATATGGAAAGGTAGCACTGGTACAACTGGCAAGCCACTGTTCTGTTATTTCACATCCTTCCTTTTTCAGATTTTAGCTGCTTTGTGTATTAAATGGATCTGAAGATTAATGTCAGGGTTCCTTTGTTTTTTGGTGTTTTTTTATTCTTTCCATCCTCACATAGTTGGTTTTGCCTCTGTTCCTGAAGTACTGTAGAAATTGTGGGATTAGGCATTTAATTATGTATGCCCTCTTAGATTTGCTAATGACTAGGAAATCTGATGATAACAGGGAGGAGGAAAGAAGGGGAATTACAAGGATAAACCTTGATATATGTTAAGCGCACTTTTGTCAGATTCTAAACTTTTATTACCAAGGATTGCAGTTTTGTGTACCATGTGAGTCTAATGCATTGTGCCACATCTGAATTGTTCCATGGCTGTAAATGAGAAACTGTAAAGAAAATAGAGAGTTTCTACTAAAATATGCTAAATATGTTGGTTTTGGTTTTGGTTTGTTGTTTTGTTTTTTGGGGTTTTTTTTAAAATGCTGGCTGTTTTAAGGTTGTGTTGTCTCCCTCATCCCTCTGACACACCACTCTCGCAATAGGAAAATAGATTTTAGGAGCAGTCATTGGAGAATGCAGATAGCTGAGCTACAGGTTAATTCATCATGTTCTTGATGCCACTAATCACTTGTGATTCTCACAAAATCAGGGCTGAAGAGAATGTATCTTTTTCTTGCCAGAAATATAATACAGCTTTGTTTAAGAGGAGCTGTTTCTCAAAGCTGAGGAAAAAAATCCTGCAGGCTGGAAAGAGCTAATGAATAACATGATTATTGTTGGTCTGGTTTTGTTGTGGGTTTTGGGTTTTTTTCCTCACCTTTGGGAAACAGCTCCTGTAAAAGTCCCCATGCCAGGTAAAAGGTAGTAACCCATGGAGACATCTTACTGGTGTGTTTCAGGTAAGAGGAACTATGAAAGGAGTAAGTAGTATAGTGAAGAGTGAGTAGAAAATGAGTAGATGAGCCTCTGTTTTCCCTTGATGAACAGCAAATCCTGAGGGGGAAGGGGGGGAAAGTCTAAGAACGAGGAGTCCCAGACTGAGAAGTCTAAGGTTTGTGTTGTTTAGACTCTCAAGCATCATTCTGAATCTCTGAGATTCCTGGCAAGGGTAAGCCTTTAAACTGTGCAGTCAGAAAAGGTGATAAAGGGGCTGTTACAGTAGACTTTGTCATAAGATGGTGTGTTAGATACCAACAGAACCCTCTGACACTTGTTGATTTAATTTAGACCAGAGCTCTTTGTATGAAATGAGGGTCCTTGTTCTTTCCCCAGCAGGCAGATAATTCCTGCATATATGTGCAATCTTTAACCTTTTGGTTTGAAAAATAAAAACATGAAAACCGTACATCTTAATATTCATAATAAATTTTAGCAAGGTTTGGTGGGGTTTTTTACAGGCAAAATCTACTCATGGAAAAGACTTTGACAGTTCTGATGTTTGCAATGAGGATGTGATCTCAGATCCACCCAACAGACAGTCCCATTCTGCTGGTTCATTATCGCATTCAGCACCTCCAGCATTTCAGAAGCATTCTCTAAGTTCTGTGCTAAATCGATCTTCTCTAAGGGAAAGGTAATGACTTGGTTTTGTTTGTGAAATTATGGAATTATTAACATGAGCAGATGATAACAGTACTTGCATGACTATAGTTTGCATGTTTGGAGGTGTGCAGGCTGGAGAGACTGAAAAATCTGTCCCCAACAACTCTGTTGTCATTTGACTTTTCCTCAGGTGCTGTGTTTGCCATCACTTCTCTGCTTAATGAGTACAATCCTAATAATACGGCAATGAAAAGGATCTTTGACATCTCTGTTGCTAACCTTCTCTGAAACAATGAAGCCCCACATTTCAGACTGCCAATGTCCATCTAAAACAGAGAATACTTGTGTAAATAAATAATCACTGTTTCAGAGGTGGTTAGAATCTCAGGAATGCAAATATAGATACATGTCAAGTAGGCTTTACAAAGAGGTACTTGGAAATCTTTTTTCCTTCTGACTAGTGTTTGTAAGCACATACTTGTGGCTATGCTGTAGTCAGATGTCTGACTAACGCGCGTAACATGCTTGGGCTAGCTTTAATCTAGCCAGTGTATTGTTTTCCAATCTTTCTGCTTTATTGACATCCTAAGATTTTATTTTATTTGAGTTGAAGTGTGGGCCTCTGTGGCAATTGTGTGTATATTAATTGCTATATTTAAATTAGTTTTCATAGTAGTCTCCACTGACCCCAATGGGATTGGGGTGGAGACAGTTTCTAATATCCCTTAGTTCAGTGGATTTCAATCCCTGGGTTAATATTTTGGGGAAGCCTCACAGCTTCAGTGTCTCACACGTGTGGGATGGAAGAAATGTCAAAAAGCAATAGATGTTTTTTAAGCTTAAGTCCTCCAGCCCTTCAAGAAGAGTATTCCTTACCTCCTGCTGAGTAGAATGTGTATTTGGTGCACAATGCTTCTACTGTACAGTTTAGTAAGTTACTAGATGGCTTTCTGGGAGCTGAAAAACTATATACAAAACTGGGCCTGAATAAACAAATACATAAAATAGTTGGGAGAAGCTGAGGATCAAACTAATGTCCTGTCCTAAATGCTGAAGTGTTTACTGAGGCCGTACTTGAAGATGTACTTTGGCTAGTTCACGTTCGTTCTAGGCTGTTTTGTCCTTGTTACCATTGGTACTTCAGTTAGTGCTCTCAGGGTGCATTTTGTAGCCTACACACAGCCTAATGTTTGGGTTTTTGTTTTTTCAAAATAGAAAAATTGTCTCAGTTTTTTTCTTTAAAAAGAAAAATGACAGATGGCAGGTGAGGATTGAATTTTTAATACTCACAAAGATCAAGTTGGTGTTTAACATCTTCCTCTGCTTGAAAACTTGCTTGTTTGTTGTTCTGTGTAATAGTATTTCTTGAGAACTGTCATACAGAGATTAGGATGTATCTGGGGTTTGGAGGAAGTTTCTTTGTCATCTTGTCTACTTCCCTACTCTCTTCTGACAGTGTTTATGCATTAGTTACCCGTGTCTGGGGAAGAGATACTGTAATGGTGACTTTTTTATCCTTTTTTCAGCTGGACTCCTTTCGGGGAGGAGGGGTTAAATTTTATAATGCATTATATTTAAAGCTGATGGGGTCCTTTATATTGATAGCAGGAAAGACTTGTATGTTGTGAGCTGCTGCTACATGCATAGTAATTTAGTCATCTGCCAGTTAATCGTGAACTTGTCTGAACATTCCTGCTTTTTCTCTTTGAGCCCCTCTCCAGAATAGACTTGTGATCTTGTGAAATTACATTTTTTCTTCTTATTAGTACAAATGTTCTTGGCTCTTTAGAGGTGTAACATCTCTTTATGTTAAAGATGTAAGCATTTACTTTTGTCATCAGAAAAAGTTCAAAACGAGAAGGTGAAGGACATAGGCTAAAAAATTTGATCACTGTTTCATGCTGCTGAGATAACAATGGTTTTAGCTGACAGTATACTGAGAGTTATACTTGGAATGACAAACATGGATCAGAGGTCAGCGTTTGGAAATGCATGCTGCTGTTCAGATCATAGAATTACAGAGAAAATCAGTACTACTGAAAGTGTATCAATATTAGTGTATTTGCAGGAATATAGAGTCTTACCTCACAGTACTTGGTGTTTATGTCCTCAATTTTATTTTGAATTACAAAGACAAAGAGCTTAGCATATCCAGGCTATTTTTCTTAATGGTAGTCAAGCCACAGTCAATATGAAACTTACCTCCCCACCTCGATCTTTAGTTCCCATTTTTCCCTTTTTTTAAAAAAAAAATAGCATGGAGTGAATGTCTGCTTTCTTGGGAGTACTTCCCAGAGCCCTGCTGAGTACTTGTTAAGCCACTGCAATACTTTTCAGTGATACAGAAATTGGGGTCTTACATAACATCCTCTGAGCCCTTTTGTATCCCTTCTAGTACTTTCCAGTCTCTTTCTGTGAGCCTGCTAGAGAGACCACAAATCAATCCTCTCCCCTTTTCCGCTGGGTTTGAGACAGAAGCAGAAATGTAAGTAGATTTACTGTTGAACAAGGCAGCAAAGTTTTGAATATTTATTTTTCATACTTTTTATTTTACATTTTTCATTATTTAGGTCACCTAAGGAAAGCATTTGCTGGTGTTGCAAGCTGATGCTCAGCAAAGTGATGTGGTTGTACAATGCCACTTATGTTTTGATTCTAGCTCCTGTGCAGACCAATGGTACATACACACTCTTTAGTTCCTGCCCATGATGTTTGACCAGCAGCATGTCAATGCAGTTGACTTGGCCCCACAGTCTGGTTGGTTGTGCATAGATAAGTATCCTTACTGCATAGATAAGTATCCTGTATGCTTTGTGAAAGAGCATTAGCACTATATTTTCTCAATGGTGCTCCAGGAAAGCAAAATTCAAGTCCAGTTCTTGCTTTCATGGTGCATATACATCCTGATGCACTCCTAGAAGGTGGTGTTTTTTTGGGGGGCTTACAAGCCAAGCCTTCTCTGCAGCACTGAAACCTGCAGCAAAAAGTACATTTTGGAAAGAAAAGGGGAAATAGTGAGATGGATTCTGTAAGGTAATGACAGAAGTCCTCTGAATGGAGCTATGTGCTGACACGAAATCCTTTTCTCAAGAGGCTACAGCAATCATAGGAGTATTTGACCATTTCTGTTATGTTGAGAGGCAAAGCTGCTTCTCATGCATTTGGGATCAAAGGATTCTTTCTCCTACTCTGGAAATAGTAGGCTTTTGCTTTTGTTTCCAGAGTGAAGTGCAGCTTGATGTCTTTTTTTTGTGTGTGTTCTCCTGGTTATACTGCTGATATGTGATCTTAACTACTACAACATTTAACAAAAACCTAAGTTGTTTGAAGTAAGACAGAAGTTAACTGTCTGGATCAGATGCCCTTCTGTAATACTCCCCTATTGTTTTACTACCATCTTTTTATATTATCTTTTTCCAAGTATTAGGGAAATACCAACATGAAGTTAAATACTACTAATGATATAATGATAGATACTAATAGTTAAATGTAAATGAAAGACTAGTTCCTACATTAAATCCTTGAAAATTCCAGTTATCAGAAGCTTTAGCTTCGGTGATCTTGAAATGTGTGACCCCAGGATCTTGGGTACTAGTCTTGTTGCATAGCAAAATCCAGACACAGGTAGTTCACTTAATATTTGAGAGAGTGGTGTGCATCCTAAGACAGGATTTACTTCTGTGAGAGTGTATGTTTAAGTTCTGAGAACTTTCTACTACAAAATGGAACACTGAAAGTTTTAGCAGACTTTTTAGAAAAACAGCTTGCTCTAGGCAGAGGCTTCAACTAGGTTTCCTGTCTATTTCTAGCCGTTTAAAACTAGTTTTCTTATTTTTTGGAATTTAGTTTGGTAATAAGATTGTACTTGAATCTTTTGGGTTTATCAGTCTCACCTCTTGGGGAAGTTTACTTATTTTGCATTCTTAAATTTAACTTCTGGAATCAGGAATTAAAGATCAGTTATTTCGTACTATATTCAGCAAAACTGAGCAGTACCTAAGCCTTGTTTCATATTTTTGACTGACATCTGTACTATTTGTCATCTTCATTAGTTGATTTTGCTGCAGCAGTAAGTAAATTTGAAATTGTTTGCTGTCAAAGCTGGTTTGTGTATAAATTAATAAGTTCAGAGAAGATAGAAGATAATGGAAAAGCTTTCGAAGAGAATTAGGAGGTGCAGCCCATTTATGACATACTAGTGATTTAGTACCAGAATGACTTCAACCTTTTTGGGGCAACAGCTCGGATAGAGTATTGGCCTTCCTTGAAATCCAGGAAGCTGTCTGCCACTTAGTTTTCACTTTTCACATGAGGATGATGTATCTTGCCACAGTTTTAAGAGCTAGATATGAAACTTAGGAGGGAAAAGAAAGCATTTATTAATTTAAAAACTCAGCACTGAATGTATCTCTAGTGCTTCAAGGCCTAACTGTAAACAACTCTTTTGCAAGTAAGAGAAACTATATAGAAAGGATGAGAAATTTTTACTTTTTTTTTCATCTCTTACTGAAGAGGGAGAGCAAATGGGTACACAGCTAAGCTGTCAGCTTCTGCTTCCAAATATTAGGCTTCTGTGCTTTGATTCAAGGCCTTGTCTGTTTGTAATTGTTTCTGCTTCATTGTAGTAGCCTGGCATTGTGAAAGCAGTCTACTTCCTCCACTTCAAATATTGTGAGAACGTAAGGATTTTTATGTTGGTATATTTTTATTACTATTCAGGAACTGGTATGTACCAATATAGACTCTAAAACACTTTTGCCCTGCGTCTACACTCGCCATCAGTCATTTTAAGAAAACGCAAAAGAAAACTGCGTCCTTTACTAAGTAGACCAGTAAAACTCGTAAGTGTAGCCCAGCCTTTCTATTGTGCCTCCATACAGACCAGTATACACTGAGAACAAGTTCATTGTATTGAATTACCACTTCATGTCCTCTTAAATAAGAATAAAACAACTTCTCCACTTACTGTGAATATTGCATAAATGCCTACTTGGGTATAAAATCTGTGAGATTTTTTTCCTATTTCAGAGTTAAATATATTTGGTTTTCTTGAGAATCTTTCTTGTTCCATGTGTAAGTTCTTGCAGATTGTGTTTTTCTCACGTTATACTTAGCTTTAAGTGTTCTTTCTCCACCTTCCTCCGAATTACAGTAGCGTTCTCTCCAATTGTGAATCGCGTACTACAGGACCTCATTGATTTCTGTCCTCTGATAGTTTGTCCTTGTATGTGGTTTTGCTCAGCATGAAGTCTGTGTCTTTGAAGCTGATGAATTCTTCGTGGAGGCCACATGCACGAGTTGTTCACAAGGCTGGGAGGTGTGATGGTGGGGGAAGGGGTCACGATAGGCATTGCAAATATTCTGCAGTAGGCTTTTGCCTTAATTCTACTAATATGAAATGTAT